GACAGTGGTACCCCTTACGTTTTTTTTTTGGGGCGAAAAATTAAGTTTCTCCAATCTTCCCAAATTCTGATAGAGGGCCATGAGACTTAGACCTGAGTGCAAAAATGGAGGCTCTAGCCCCTTCCAGAGCTGAGATATCGAAACTCAAAAATTCGGCCCGAAAAAAAAACGACAGTGGTACCCCTTACGTTTTTTTTTTTGGGCGAAAAATTAAGTTTCTCCAATCTTCCCAAATTCTGATAGAGGGCCATGAGACTTAGACCTGAGTGCAAAAATGGAGGCTCTAGCCCCTTCCAGAGCTGAGATATCGAAACTCAAAAATTCGGCCCGAAAAAAAAACGACAGTGGTACCCCTTACGTTTTTTTTTTTGGGCGAAAAATTAAGTTTCTCCAATCTTCCCAAATTCTGATAGAGGGCCATGAGACTTAGACCTGAGTGCAAAAATGGAGGCTCTAGCCCCTTCCAGAGCTGAGATATCGAAACTCAAAAATTCGGCCCGAAAAAAAAACGACAGTGGTACCCCTTACGTTTTTTTTTTTGGGCGAAAAATTAAGTTTCTCCAATCTTCCCAAATTCTGATAGAGGGCCATGAGACTTAGACCTGAGTGCAAAAATGGAGGCTCTAGCCCCTTCCAGAGCTGAGATATCGAAACTCAAAAATTCGGCCCGAAAAAAAAACGACAGTGGTACCCCTTACGTTTTTTTTTTTGGGCGAAAAATTAAGTTTCTCCAATCTTCCCAAATTCTGATAGAGGGCCATGAGACTTAGACCTGAGTGCAAAAATGGAGGCTCTAGCCCCTTCCAGAGCTGAGATATCGAAACTCAAAAATTCGGCCCGAAAAAAAAAACGACAGTGGTACCCCTTACGTTTTTTTTTTGGGGCGAAAAATTAAGTTTCTCCAATCTTCCCAAATTCTGATAGAGGGCCATGAGACTTAGACCTGAGTGCAAAAATGGAGGCTCTAGCCCCTTCCAGAGCTGAGATATCGAAACTCAAAAATTCGGCCCGAAAAAAAAACGACAGTGGTACCCCTTACGTTTTTTTTTTGGGCGAAAAATTAAGTTTCTCCAATCTTCCCAAATTCTGATAGAGGGCCATGAGACTTAGACCTGAGTGCAAAAATGGAGGCTCTAGCCCCTTCCAGAGCTGAGATATCGAAACTCAAAAATTCGGCCCGAAAAAAAAAACGACAGTGGTACCCCTTACGTTTTTTTTTTTGGGCGAAAAATTAAGTTTCTCCAATCTTCCCAAATTCTGATAGAGGGCCATGAGACTTAGACCTGAGTGCAAAAATGGAGGCTCTAGCCCCTTCCAGAGCTGAGATATCGAAACTCAAAAATTCGGCCCGAAAAAAAAACGACAGTGGTACCCCTTACGTTTTTTTTTTTGGGCGAAAAATTAAGTTTCTCCAATCTTCCCAAATTCTGATAGAGGGCCATGAGACTTAGACCTGAGTGCAAAAATGGAGGCTCTAGCCCCTTCCAGAGCTGAGATATCGAAACTCAAAAATTCGGCCCGAAAAAAAAAACGACAGTGGTACCCCTTACGTTTTTTTTTTTGGCGAAAAATTAAGTTTCTCCAATCTTCCCAAATCTCTGATAGAGGGCCATGAGACTTAGACCTGAGTGCAAAAATGGAGGCTCTAGCCCCTTCCAGAGCTGAGATATCGAAACTCAAAAATTCGGCCCGAAAAAAAAACGACAGTGGTACCCCTTACGTTTTTTTTTTGGGCGAAAAATTAAGTTTCTCCAATCTTCCCAAATTCTGATAGAGGGCCATGAGACTTAGACCTGAGTGCAAAAATGGAGGCTCTAGCCCCTTCCAGAGCTGAGATATCGAAACTCAAAAATTCGGCCCGAAAAAAAAACGACAGTGGTACCCCTTACGTTTTTTTTTTTGGGCGAAAAATTAAGTTTCTCCAATCTTCCCAAATTCTGATAGAGGGCCATGAGACTTAGACCTGAGTGCAAAAATGGAGGCTCTAGCCCCTTCCAGAGCTGAGATATCGAAACTCAAAAATTCGGCCCGAAAAAAAAACGACAGTGGTACCCCTTACGTTTTTTTTTTTGGGCGAAAAATTAAGTTTCTCCAATCTTCCCAAATTCTGATAGAGGGCCATGAGACTTAGACCTGAGTGCAAAAATGGAGGCTCTAGCCCCTTCCAGAGCTGAGATATCGAAACTCAAAAATTCGGCCCGAAAAAAAAACGACAGTGGTACCCCTTACGTTTTTTTTTTTGGGCGAAAAATTAAGTTTCTCCAATCTTCCCAAATTCTGATAGAGGGCCATGAGACTTAGACCTGAGTGCAAAAATGGAGGCTCTAGCCCCTTCCAGAGCTGAGATATCGAAACTCAAAAATTCGGCCCGAAAAAAAAACGACAGTGGTACCCCTTACGTTTTTTTTTTGGGCGAAAAATTAAGTTTCTCCAATCTTCCCAAATTCTGATAGAGGGCCATGAGACTTAGACCTGAGTGCAAAAATGGAGGCTCTAGCCCCTTCCAGAGCTGAGATATCGAAACTCAAAAATTCGGCCCGAAAAAAAAACGACAGTGGTACCCCTTACGTTTTTTTTTTGGGCGAAAAATTAAGTTTCTCCAATCTTCCCAAATTCTGATAGAGGGCCATGAGACTTAGACCTGAGTGCAAAAATGGAGGCTCTAGCCCCTTCCAGAGCTGAGATATCGAAACTCAAAAATTCGGCCCGAAAAAAAAACGACAGTGGTACCCCTTACGTTTTTTTTTTTGGGCGAAAAATTAAGTTTCTCCAATCTTCCCAAATTCTGATAGAGGGCCATGAGACTTAGACCTGAGTGCAAAAATGGAGGCTCTAGCCCCTTCCAGAGCTGAGATATCGAAACTCAAAAATTCGGCCCGAAAAAAAAACGACAGTGGTACCCCTTACGTTTTTTTTTTTGGGCGAAAAATTAAGTTTCTCCAATCTTCCCAAATTCTGATAGAGGGCCATGAGACTTAGACCTGAGTGCAAAAATGGAGGCTCTAGCCCCTTCCAGAGCTGAGATATCGAAACTCAAAAATTCGGCCCGAAAAAAAAAACGACAGTGGTACCCCTTACGTTTTTTTTTTTTGGGCGAAAAATTAAGTTTCTCCAATCTTCCAAAACTCTGGATTCTGATAGAGGGCCATGAGACTTAGACCTGAGTGCAAAAATGGAGGCTCTAGCCCCTTCCAGAGCTGAGATATCGAAACTCAAAAATTCGGCCCGAAAAAAAAAACGACAGTGGTACCCCTTACGTTTTTTTTTTTTGGGCGAAAAATTAAGTTTCTCCAATCTTCCAAAACTCTGGATTCTGATAGAGGGCCATGAGACTTAGACCTGAGTGCAAAAATGGAGGCTCTAGCCCCTTCCAGAGCTGAGATATCGAAACTCAAAAATTCGCCCGAAAAAAAAAACGACAGTGGTACCCCTACGTTTTTTTTTTTGGGCGAAAAATTAAGTTTCTCCAATCTTCTCAAAACTCTGGATTCTGATAGAGGGCCATGAGACTTAGACCTGAGTGCAAAAATGGAGGCTCTAGACCCTTCCAGAGCTGAGATATCGAAACTCAAAAAATTCGACCCGAAAAAAAAACGACAGTGGTACCCCTTTCGTTTTTTTTTTCGGGCGAAAAATTAAGTTTCTCCAATCTTCTCAAAACTCTGGATTCTGATAGAGGGCCATGAGACTTAGACCTGAGTGTAAAAATGGAGGTTCTAGACCCTTTCAGAGCTGAGATATCGAAACTCTAAAATTCGAAAAAAACTTAATTTTTCGCCCGAAAAAAAAAAAAACGAAAGGGGTACCACTGTCGGGGGGGTCGAAATTTTGAGTTTCTCTGATCTTTTTGAAACTCTAGATTCTGATAGAGGGCCATGAGACTTAGACCTGAGTGCAAAAATGGAGGCTCTAGACCCTTCCAGAGCTGAGATATTGAGATTTTCATGATGGCATAAATGCTATGTGGGATCTCAATATCTCAATTCTGGAAGGGTCCAGAGACTCCATTTTTGCACTCAGGTCTAAGTCTCAAGGCCCTCTATCAGAATCCAGAGATTTGAGAAGATTGGAGAATCTTACTTTTTCGCATCGAAAAAAAAAAAACGAAAGGGGTACCACTGTCGTTTTTTTGGGGGGGTCGAAATTTTGAGGTTCTCTGATCTTCTTGAAACTCTTGATCCTGATAGAGGGCCAGGAGACTTAGACCTGAGTACAAAAATGGAGGCTCTAGACCCTTCCAGAGCTGAGATATTGAGATTTTTATAGTGGCATAAATGCTACGAGGGATCTCAATATCTCAGCTCTGGAATGGTCTAGAGACTCCATTTTTGCACTCAGGTCTAAGTCTCATGGCCCTCTATCAGAATCCAGAGTTTTGAGAAGATTGGAGAAACTTATTTTTTCGCACCGAAAAAAAAAAACGACAGGGGTACCACTGTTGTTTTATTGGGGCGTCGAAATGTTTTGTTTCTCTGATCTTCTTGAAACTCTGTATTCTGATAGAGGACCATGAGACTTAGACCTGAGAGCAAAATGGAGGCTCTAGACCCTTCCAGAGCGGAGATATTCAGATATTTATAATTCTACCAGAAAGACTCGGGAGATAAGTTGAAAAGCAGAATACATTTATTGACAGCTCAGCAAGCATAAATTTATGAGTTCTTTGGGGTAGGCCCCGTCCTTAGCGAGCAAAGCGAGGTTAGCCGAATCTGCATGTCCCGCCTGAGATGAAGGCGGGGGCGAAGCCGACCCCCTGGAGGTAAGGAAAGGACCATCCTGGTGGTGGTGATGGGGAGGATGGAGGGGAAGGTACCATCTTGGTGGTGGTTGGGGAGGATGGAGGTGAATGGCAGGGTCAGCATCTGCGAACTCAGAAAAGTGTAAGTACCAATCTTTTATACTGTGACTGTTAACACCTGATTGGATAGGAATGAGGTAATACATGACGCGCTTATTGAGTCTTGCTGACAGAATTTAAGCTAAAGCTTTCATTGGCATAAATGCTACGTGGTATCTCAATATCTCAGCTCTGGAAGGGTCTAGAAACTCCATTTTTGCACTCAGGTCTAAGTCTCGTGGCCCTCTATCAGAATCCAGAGTTTTGAGAAGATTGGAGAAACTTATTTTTTCGCACCGAAAAAAAAAAACGACAGGGGTACCATTGTCGTTTTTTTGGGGGGGGGGTCGAAATTTTTTGTTTCTCTGATCTTCTTGAAACTCTGTATTCTGATAGAGGGCCATGAGAGTTAGACCTGAGAGCAAAAATGGAGGCTCTAGACCCTTCCAGAGCTGAGATTTTGAGATATTTATAATTCTACCAGAAAGACTCAGGAGATAAGTTGAAAAGCAGAATACATTTATTGACAGCTCAGCAAGCATAAATTTATGAGTTCTTTGGCGTAGGCCCCATCCTTAGCGAGCAAAGCGAGGTTAGCCGAATCTGCATGTCCCGCCTGAGATGAAGGCGGAGGCGCAGCCGACCCCCTGGAGGTAAGGAAAGGACCATCCTGGTGGTGGTGATGGGGAGGATGGAGGGGAAAGTACCATCTTGGTGGTGGTTGGGGAGGATGGAGGTGAATGGCAGGGTCAGCATCTGCAAACTCAGAAAAGTGTAAGTACCAATCTTTTATACTGTGACTGTTAACACCTGATTGGATAGGAATGAGGTAATACATGACGCGCTTATTGAGTCTTGCTGACAGAATTTAAGCTAAAGCTTTCATTGGCATAAATGCTACGTGGGATCTCAATATCTCAGCTCTGGAAGGGTCTAGAAACTCCATTTTTGCACTCAGGTCTAAGTCTCGTGGCCCTCTATCAGAATCCAGAGTTTTAAGAAGATTGGAGAAACTTATTTTTTCGCACCAAAAAAAAAACGACAGGGGTACCATTGTCGTTTTTTTTTTTTGGGGGGGGGGGGGGGGGGGGGTAAATTTTTTGTTTCTCTGATCTTCTTGAAACTCTGTATTCTGATAGAGGGCCATGAGACTTAGACCTGAGAGCAAAAATGGAGGCTCTAGACCCTTCCAGAGCTGAGATTTTGAGATATTTATAATTCTACCAGAAAGACTCGGGAGATAAGTTGAAAAGCAGAATACATTTATTGACAGCTCAGCAAGCATAAATTTATGAGTTCTTTGGCATAGGCCCCATCCTTAGCGAGCAAAGCGAGGTTAGCCGAATCTGCATGTCCCGCCTGAGATGAAGGCGGAGGCGCAGCCGATTCCCTGGAGGTAAGGAAAGGACCATCCTGGTGGTGGTGATGGGGAGGATGGAGGGGAAGGTACCATCTTGGTGGTGGTTGGGGAGGATGGAGGTGAATGGCAGGGTCAGCATCTGCGAACTCAGAAAAAGTGTAAGTACCAATCTTTTATACTGTGACTGTTAACACCTGATTGGATAGGAATGAGGTAATACATGACGCGCTTATTGAGTCTTGCTGACAGAACTTAAGCTAAAGCTTTCATTGGCATAAATGCTACGTGGGATCTCAATATCTCAGCTCTGGAAGGGTCTAGAAACTCAATTTTTGCACTCAGGTCTAAGTCTCGTAGCCTGGTTCTACCAGACTCTCGTACATACATTTCATTTGTACAGAGAGTCTGGCCTCCCTCAATTGAGAAACGTTTCCTTCCTTGTAGGCGGGTTCACTATTAAAGTTCAAATCTATTGGATCTGCCCAGAGTCACTCACGATCTGCCATAGCCAATCGCTAATGTGTGGTCGTGAGTGACGTATGTCATGCGCCGAAACGGCTGGAAAGTTGAAACAACCATAGACAGTAAAAGAAACAAGTCCGAACTCCGAATGATCAGAGGATTAAATTTACAATAGGATTTCAGTCAACGAGAGCTGCAGGTTTTGTTAATCTAGGAACAATTATTAATTCGAAATGTACATTTGACATGAAGGACAGTGATTATTCAGTCGATGCTGTAAGTTACAGTGAATGATCAGTCTGTCTGCAGATGTGTAATAAACAATTTTTCATATTACGTATTTTTGTTTCTTAATTACCTTAATTATGGTCTTCAAAGTATGTGTTTGTACATTTTTATATGGCATTTAGTTTTTTTCTTTTTATTAAAACAAATTAACCATTGACATCTAAAACTGAAAATCAAATATAGTCTCCAAAGTATGGGTTTTCAAATTTTTATTTATGACAATTTTTTTTTTTAATCACAACCAATTTGTATGATTTACAACATGTACAACTGACACACCAACCTCCTGTACGAGTGCACAAAGGGGCTCAAAATGTTCTATTCATCACAAGAATCCGTAAATTTACTGTTGGGAATCTGAGCGACTGACATGACTCCTGAGCGGATCTTCAACAATAGTTTAGCAGCCAGGACTCGGGGCTTCCGAACACCAGGCTAAAGTCCAAAATGTCACGGTCATTGTGCGTGCACGAGCTGCCCAGCACAAACTTCCAACCTTTCTGCCTCCTTCACTTGGTCCTCCGTTGTGCAACAAGAGGTGAGACGACAACAATCCGGCTTTAAATTCTGTATATTTGGCAGTTTCTTTTCCAACAACGGACCGAATAGCTTTTCTCACGTCTTTCTCCGCTGCCATTACTGCACTCAAACTGACGCACTACATCAACGTCATCGTTCTCAGCCACTCCCTCTATTCGCTGATTGGTCCTACAAAAAATTGATTTCTGGAAACCTAAGGATATGGAGCGGTCCCAGACGCAGTACTGAAGGAAAATGAAATTGAGCGGAAGTGCGTAGGCGGGCGCAGCCAGGCTATAAGTCTCGTGGCCCTCTATCAGAATCCAGAGTTTTGAGAAGATTGGAGAAACTTATTTTTTGGCATCAAAAAAAAAAAAAAAAAACGACAGGGGTATCACTGTCATTTTTTTTGGGGGGGGGGGGGGGGGGGGTTGAAATTTTGAGTTTCTCTGATCTTCTTGAAACTCTGGATTCTGATAGAGGGCCAAGATACTTAGACCTGAGTACAAAAATGGAGGCTCTAGACCCTTGCAGAGCTGAGATATTGAGATTTTGATAGTGGCATAAATGCAACGTCGGATCTCAATATCTCAGCTCTGGAAGGGTCTAGAGACTCCATTTTGCACTCAGGTCTAAGTCTCAAGGCCCTCTATCAGAATCCAGAGTTTTGAAAAGATTGGAGAAACTTATTTTTTCGCATCGAAAAAAAAAAAAAAAAAAACAATGACAGGGGTACCACTCTGGTTTTTTTTTTTTTCGGGTCAAAATTTTGAGTTGCTCTGATCTTAACTTAGATTAACTTAGATTAATAAGGTTATTGGACAGCAAACTGCACACAGTGACAAAAAAAACAAACAAACACATATGAACGAAATAAACTGCTGGATCTTTAATGTTGAGGGACTATTTTTCTGCTGGAGGTCAAGGACATCTTATTCCGAGACATGGCAAAGTCAAATATTAACAGATAATAAAATCAAAACTTGACCGCCTCTGCAAGAAATCTTATAATCAGCCATGCTTGGATATTCCACCAGGACACTGATCCAAAACTAACAACAAAATCATCATAAAAAAGGGTCACTTAGCACAAAATGAAGCTTTTGGCATGCCCATCACACTCTACTGACTGGAACCCCAAAGTGAAGAGCAGAGTGTGTTAACATGGACCTGGGAATTTGAAGGATGTGGAGAGATATGAAGGAATGGTCTCTGATCACTTGTCAGGTGTTCTCATCAGGCATTATAGGAGACTCAGAGTTGTTATCTTGGCAAAAGGAAGTTACAAAAAGAATTGAAAAAAGGGTAATTAATTGTGGCCAATGTGTATTCAAGAAAAAACAAATGTATCTGACCTACAGTATCTCACAAAAGTGAGTACACCCCTCACATTTCAGCCAATATTTTAGAATATCTTGACACACTTGGCCACTCCATCACCTTCAGCTTCCTCAGCAAGGCAGTTGTCATCTTGACGATGTGTTTGGGGTTTCGTTATCATGCCGTTCTGTCCAGTTTCTGAAGGGAGGGCATCATGTTCAGCTTCTACATGTCTCCATGTTTCCCTCAATCAAGCTCAGCTTCCCAGTACCAGCAGCACTCAAGCAGCCCCAGACCAGGATGCTACCACCACCATACTCGACTGTAGGCAAGACACAATTTTCTCTTTACTCCTCACCAGGGCATCACCACACATGCTGGACACCATCTGAGCCAAACAAGTTAATCTTATGCCTAATTCAGACTGCACAATTTTCAAAGTAGTCGGGTCGCTGTTCCTTTCACACTGCATGACTATCTTGGCCAGCATTCAGTCGCTGCTGTGTTCACACTGCATGATGGATTGGCGACAGAAGGTTTCACACTGCATGATTTTACAATAGAATCGCCGACAACTCTGTCTAGCACGCTGTGCGCAAACTACACATTTCACAACAAACACACGCGAGATGCGACAAGGAAACAACATCACACGTGCAAGACCGGAATTCTCATGTGAGCCTTTTTCTTTTTCGACCCGTTGTGGTACAGCTCAGATGAAATGTCAAACACACACGGATGCTCCTGCCAAATTTCTACAAATTTTTCTTCGATTTCTTGTGTCCAAATAGACAGAGAAGAAGCCTTTTTCTGAAACAATGCCATATGTTGATATATGACCTATAACTCCTCCCCGAACTCCCTGCTGCTCTGCATCTTGCTCTCTCATTGACTGTTGGTAATCGCCGATGTAGTTTTCAGTCAAAACACTTTTCACATAGCAGAATTGTGAACTCGTCGGCGATTCTCTTAGATCGCGTCTTTGCTCATTCACACTGCGTGATTGTCACTTGCGTGAATGAGCATCAATTTGCCTGTGATTCCGGGCATTTCTCTGTGATTTCTCAAAACCTTAAAGTTCTTCAATGAGGAGCCATGTTGAGCATTCAGTGGCCAGTAGGCCTATGAGAGAATCGTACTCAAAGCACAAACAGCTCTAATACAAGAAACTAGGGCTGGGTATTGAGACAAATTTCACAATTCGATTCGATTTCGATTCACAAGCTTGCAATTCGATTCAATTTCGATTACGATTCAATTCGATTCAATATTGATTATTTTGGATATCAGTTACAATAAATGGCAATTTTTCTCAAGGGAATCAAATCTCTTAAATGCTGTAAACTATGGGAGTCTAGTTGTAGCCTACTAGGCTTCATTAGCCTAATATGAAGGTAATAATGAACTGTTTTGTAGCTATACAAACACTTAAATTACACTTTTATTTATTTTTATAATAAGAGGATTATATGAAATATAAACATTTAAATGGTGGCTGTCATAAAGACTTGCCAGATATGTTCAAATATGCATTAAATATTGAAGAACTAACACTAACGAGTGTGGACTAACGAGTTATGTGGGTTTTCTGAGGTAAATATGACGATACATGACATTGATTACAAGCTGTTTAATTGACGTCTTTCCACGGTTGAAACGCTGATTGAGTGAATCAATGTGACATGATAAGGATTTCGATAAGTTGTACTCTATCTTTTAACACACTTTCAGATGCTCATTCATGTTTATTTCGTGCTGTGACTGGTATTATTAACCCGGAAGAGAGATCAGCACTGCTGCTTCTCTTGAGCTACGCCAGAGCGATCTCCACGCCACAGCGCCAAAACACTATTTATGTTTTTGAATTTCTGAAGAAAATGGATGTAATTTGAAATTTGAGACTTTGTTTCATATCAATAGTAACAAAGGACAAAGATTATTGCAATTTTTTTTGGATGCACGCAGCCGCGATACAATGTCCCATTCATTCAAATGAAACTGGATGACTAATCAATTCTTGAGATTTAAGAATCGATATTGGTTCGTAAAAATGAGAATCGATTAATATCGAGAAATCGATATTTATTACCCATCCCTACAAGAAACACAAATTTGTATGGTCCTGTCAAGCAGACAAAAACATGAACATGAAGAATAGCACATGTGGCTTTGCAGGGTTAAATAACGTACAGCTATTATCATTCAGGGTGCACTCACTTTTGTTGCCAGCCATTTTGAAAATAATGGCTGTATTTTGAGTTATTTTCAGAGGACAGTAAATATATTCTGCTACACAGGCAGCATATTGACTACTCTAAAATACATACAAGTTTCATTGAGAAGTCTCAAATGTTTGCTGAAATGTGAGGGGTGTACTCACTTGTGAGATACTGAATATGAATGTGTTAAGTTTATTAAGTAACTATATTTCGTGACAGTGTACTGTAGTTGAAAATTTCATGTTATTTATTGATGTTTATTTTTTTTTTAGGTGTTTTCTCTCCTTATTGTAGCCATTGGGGTATATGCCAAAGTTCAAAAGGCGACAGGTATGACAACTATTTTGTGTGTGTTCCTCAGATGTGTGTGGATCAATTAAGAGACTTTTTCTGTGTTTTTTTCTCACCACAGACACAGTGCGTGACACGTTCCTCATTGATCCTGCTGTGATTCTCATTGTGGTGGGGGTGGTCATGTTCTTCATCACCTTCTGTGGATGCATCGGAGCTCTGCGCGAAAATATAAGGCTCCTTAAAATTGTGAGCAGAATATGAATTACTACACGTTGTTAACATATTTATTCAAAGTGACTTATAAGGATTAGGCTTCATTTCATTCCAGTAGTTAAAATAGTATAGCTGTATAAAGGAAAACCAGGGCTAGTTGTCACATGGGGTGTTGTGGGACTAAAAAGTTATGATTTAATATTATGATTAACAAAATTAGAATTGTAAAAAACATTTTTTGTTAATTGAAATAAAGCTGAAATACAATAAAATATAAATATAGGTAATTAGATAAAAATGTGAAATACAGGTGCTTTTTAAGTCCTCTTGGGAAGTTCGTATTTACAAGTTGTGTTCGGAGGAAAGTCACTTTTCTATAGCTCTCCTGATATTAGAGAAACTATTTCAGAAGAATAAAATCAAGCATATTTTGTTACCTTTTGAAGCTTGGAAGAGTTTAGTTTGAGCAGATGTTTTATATCATCACTGTCTCATCAGAGCTCATTTCCTAGTACATTCAGCATCTGACTCATATTCGCAATCTCAACCATTCTCAAAACTATCATTTTCAACATCTTCAAAATCAAAATTTTGATCGCTGACAGCTTCTTCACCAGATCCACCATCAAGTGACAGTGACTGATTTGATTTTATTCAGTACTTGCAGTAAATAGCTGAGCCATTTCAAGTTTTGCTGATGATAATTCCTATTCTTTTGTTTTCTGCCTGCGGTAACTATGAGTGAAACACCACTTCATAATTGTGTATCAGACATTGCCACCTTGTGGAATAAAGGTGAATTGCACTTATTCAGTTATCAAAGATTCAAATATTGTTGTCAATTAACATAGTTACAGTTACACACTCCTGGGCCGTTATAGCGACCCAATACATTTGTTTTTAAATTGAATTGTTATTGACAATTGAAATTAATTCTTTTATAATTTTATTGTTTATAATGAATTGATTGGGGAATACTAAGAAGGTTGATGTCTTACTTTAAAAAATGAATGAGGAGGAGGGTAGTGAAGGATGTCACTAAAGACCCCAGATATACGTTAAAGGAGAACTCCGGCTCAAAATGAACCTTTGTTCTAATAAAACATCGGTACCTAGTCAACCGTTGTCTGAGATTTGTTTTCATGATAATCGAATGTAGAGAGTTGAATCTCTAAAAACTGTTAAGCGTTTAATGCTAGTATGGGCGCATTTACTAAGTAAAAAGAAATCGCCAGTTTTACCACTAACAAGGCTCAAAATTACGGAGGCGTATTGCATTCACTTGAAGAAAAAAAATCTACTCTGTTTTTCTGAATTAATGAGTTAATTTTTCATGAGAAAAAAAAATGCTCTGTTTTTCTGAATTAATGAGTTAATTTTTCATGAGAAAAAAAAAATTGCTCTGTTTTTCTGAATTAACAAGTTAATTTTTCATGAGAAAAATTTTTTTTGCTCTGTTTTTCTGAATTAACAAGTTAATTTTTAATGGAATTTTTTTTTTGCTCTGTTTTTCTGAATTAATGAGTCAATTCAGAAAAACAGCAAAAATAAATTTTCTCATGAAAAATTAACTCATTAATTCAGAAAAACAGAGCAAAAACTTTTTTCTCAAGAAAAACTAACTCATTAATTCAGAAAAACAGAGCAAATTTTTTTCTCATGAAAAATTAACTAATTAATTCAGAAAAACAGAGCAAACACTTTTTTTCTCATGAAAGATTAACTCATTAATTCAGAAAAACAGAGCAAAATTTTTTTCTCATGAAAATTTACTCATTAATTCAGAAAAACAGAGCAAAAACTTTTTTTTCTCATGAAAAATTAACTCATTAATTCAGAAAAACAGAGCAAATTTTTTTTTCTCTTGAAAAATTAACTCGTTAATTCAGAAAAACAGAGCAAAAAAAATTTTTCTCATGAAAAATTAACTCATTAATTCAGAAAAACAGAGCATTTTTTTCTCATGAAAAATTAACTCGTTAATTCAGAAAAACAGAGTAGATTTTTTTTCTTCAAGTGAATGCAATATGCCTCCGTACAAAATGGCCCCACACTAACACAGTAACATAATGAGGGTCCATACATGCAAAACAAAGCATTGAGAACTTTGTAAGTGTACAGACCTTTAATAAAAAGATACTTAATGAAGACAGTTCACTTTGTGTATACAGACAGGAGCCATCTTAGAAAACAGTCAGGACAAGTCAAACCACAAACGTCATGCTTGGTGAGCTGAACTGAAGTTCAACGATCTTCTGAACTGTATGAACAGCACCAGAGTTCTCCTTTATAGTTAGGGTTTGAGGGTCAAAAAATAAACCTACACAGCGAAGCACAAATAGTTGTAGAACATGTGACAACTAGCCTCAGTATTCTCTGTACATATATCTGCTATTTATCAGTTACATTTGATCCTTTATTTAAATAGCAGTTACAAACAATGTTCATTAGTAAGCAAATCTTCTTTCCTGTTCCTCTCTAGTTCTCACTTAGCCTCACCCTGGTCTTTCTTACACAAATGGCCATTGCAATCCTGGGCTTCTTCTACTCTGACCAGGTGATTTTTCACTTGAAACCATAATTTATAAACTAGATGTGTTTTCTGCAGCACTGATATGGGATACAGGCTATACATGAAGTATTTTACTGTTACGACTTTAAAACACTAAGGGCCGTTTAAGATCAATTGTAACATTAGGCTATGGCTTTTTTAGGGAGGGTTAACCTGTTTTAGCCGTCATCTGTCTCTAAGTCCATCTCACGGGATATCAAGTCCATTTAAAAGCAATTCACCATTCACTGCCATTGTTCATCTTACCCGTAACAACAATTTTAGCTATAGAGTTTCGGTCTACTATTTCCTTAATCATTCGAGTGGAATCTTGAAGTTCTACAGTCCAGGAGAAGGTCGTGTGTATTACATCACACTGTACTTCGCAGCACACACCTTTAAACTGGGAGGGCAGTTTAACGATGTCGCTTCAAGCATCTTCGCTGCTTAATGATTAAAGAGCTTTGCCACATCAAAGTGGGACCAAATGTTCCATTTCGATGGAGGCTTTCTAGGAGTCTTCCTGTTAATGACATGCCAGCGTTAAAAGAACAGACAGGGGAGATGGAGAGAGCTCAGGGGGGGCCCCAATAGTTCATTACCACACTAAAGCATATGCTATTAGAGCCGCCATGGTGAATTAGCACTGTCGGCCTGTCTCCCGTAGCACAATTATATACAACCCAGATGTAAGTGTTTGATTTTCAGGTACATATGCGTATGGAAATATATTTGGTGGCTAGATTGTATGAAGTGTCATGTTCACAGACACGCGATGCTCTGGGGAAATTTGTGAAAAAAGCCATTGTGGATTATCGAGATGACGTGGACCTTCAAAACCTAATGGACTACATCCAAAAAGAGGTAGAGGTTTTATTTTGTTCAGACGGAGCGGATTTAAAATGTGTCTGGGGATATGCTACACCATGTGAAGTCATGTGCATTTCTCCAATCAATATCAGTATGCATTGCTTTTTTACTGTCAAAATTTATTGTATTTTTGTGTCAAAATATACATTTATTATGGGTTGCATGTTTTTGAAGTTTCACCAAGGCTTCATTTATTTTAACAAAAAAAAAAAAAAGAAATGAAAAAACAATAAAATTGTGAAATTATATTTATTCCTGTGGTAGCAAAACCTAATCTTTAGCATCATTACTCTAGTCTTCAGTGGCACATGATGAAATTATTTTAATATGCTGATTGGTTAAAAAAACGATTGTATTGCCTAATTTTTTTGGAAACCTTGACACTTTTTATAAGATTTTTTTAGCACAGTATTATTGTATTTTTTCAGTCTTTTTATCAATTTAATGCATCTGAATAAAATTATTAATTTCTTATCATTTTTATATCATCATTCTGGACCAATGCTTTAGTACTTTTTGTAATTTACGTAGCTTGTGTTAGCTTACATTCTGAGAAAAAAAAAAAGCAAATTTAAAATGTTTTTGGTCAACTCTGTATATTTTATCCCTAACCATAGTGCTGAGATCGATAAATATGGTAATGTGAACACATGCATGGCTCTCAAAATCTTTCTTTAGATTATATGCCTTCCTCTTCGTACTCGTCACAATGAAAATTGTGGGTCCATGGGTCCAGCAGATGTGAGATGAATATGTGGTCTGAGAGACAGTCTAAAAATAATGTTTTATTTCCCTTCCTTCCTTTCTGCTCTTTGCAGTTCAAATGCTGTGGCTGGAACAACTACACTGACTGGTCCTGGAACCTCTACTTCAACTGCACTCCGTCAAACCCCAGCAATGAGAAGTGTTCAGTTCCTTTCTCATGCTGCACTCCTCTACCAGAAGAAGTGAGATTAAACCAACTATACACACACCGATCTTTAATCTGTAGTTATAAATACATAAAAATGGACATAGAAATTAGCAGATATGAGATCTGTGAGAAGCGAGGATTCACATGGCGCTTTATGAGATGCTTTGCACTGGTGCGACTGAAGCTCTAAATCATTATAATTACATTTTAACTTTACAATATCATTTTATAGTACACTAGTTTCACCCCTTTAAAGCGAAAGCATTATCTCAACTGTTTATGGCGGCAACAGATGTACAGTAATGGTAACCCCCTTGGAAAACCTTATATTGGGAGAATAAAAAAAACACATACTGTATTATAACCAAGGCTGCATTTATTTAATACAGTAAAAACAGTAAAATTGTGAAACATTTCACAATATAGTTTGATATATTTTAAAATATCATTTTTTCCTGTATTGCAAAGCTGAATGTTCAGCAACTCAAGTCTCTTCAGAAATTATTATAATATGACCCTGGATCACAAAACCAGTCACAAAAATGGGTATATTTGTGGCAAAAGCCAACAATACATTGTATGGGTCACAATTAGCGATTTTTCTTTTAGGCCAAAAAACATAGGATATTAAGTAAAGATCATGTTCCATGAAGATAGTTTGTACATTTTCTACCATAAATATATGGCGATTTTCTCATTGTTTCGTTTTTTTTTGCACCCTCGCATTACAGATTTTCAAATAACTGTACCTCAGCCAAATATTGTCATATCCTATCATGGAACGCTTATTTATTCAGCTTTCAGATTTTGTATGAATCTCAATTTCAAAAAATTGACTGGTTTTGTCTAGTTTCACATATGCTGATTTGATGCTTAAAAAGCATTAGTTATTATTATTATGATCATATTTATTATTATTATTATTAATGTTAAAACCGTTGTGATGCTTAATATTTTTTGTGGAAACCATGATACTCTCACACCGAGTGGCTGTAATGAAGCGCACGGCGATGGAGAATTCAAAGCAGTCTTTAATATACACAACCCAAGGGAAAGCTGCAAGAGATAATCTGATAAAAAAAATAAAAAAACCTCACAATCAATAACAGAAACAAGGCTGAACAAGAACTGAGAAAAACGAAGGGCTTAAAGTCGGCATTAAATCAAATTTGACCCTCTTTACTTTGTTAGCGCGTCCTGTTGTGAATGTGTTATCTGTGCAAGTTGATAAAAAAATGGCTTGCCTTCCTTTTTTGGTGACTTGTTTGAAGGATTGAGTAAAATATCTCCTTCAACAGTCAGTCTGCTGAGAGCTTTGACAGCAAGCTGAACGGAACACCCACTTTTCTTGATCCAATCAAAGGGCTATATGCAGTGGTGGAATGTAACGAAGTACAAATACTTCGTTACTTTACTTAAGTACATTTTTCACGTATCTTTACTTTACTTAAGTAGAATAAATAGTGCATACTTTTTACTTTTACTTCGTTACATTTTGCAGCAATTATTATACTTTCTACTCCACTACATTTCTACAACTTCTGTTACATTTTCATTACATTTCCTAAACAGTTTTTCCCCCTGTCAAAACGTAAACGTTGCACGTTTGTCTCACCAGTGACGTTTGGTTGCCATAGATACATCAACTAAATGCGTCTTGCATGCAGTGTGTTTATCGTGCAATTTATACGCGAAAATTTGTTTTTACATGCTTAGGAAACACACCGTGTGTAATATACGTTTGGTTAGGATTATGGCAAGCCAAGAGGTTCAGAATTACACAATAAATTAATCGCGTTTACTGCCAAACATAGTTATTAACATATAGTAAGGATATGGCTTAGTGCCTAATTGCAAGCTTGTTTCAGAAATGGTAACAACAACTTTTTTTCCATCATTATTGAACATCATTATAGGAGTATTAGGTTCAATGAGTTAGAATTAAATGTTTTATTAATCATTAGAAAATAGTCATTAAGAGAATCAGTTGTTATGCAAGTACTTTTACTTTTAATACTTAAAGTACATTTAAAATCAGGTACTTTTTACTTTTTACTTAAGTATGTTTGTCATTGTGTTACTTCTACTTTTACTAAAGTAAATATTTATCTGGTTATTTGTACTTTTACTTAAGTACTGAGATTCAGTACTTCCTCCACCACTGGCTATATGCACGTATAAGTTCCGCATTTGACGCAAGGATGCTCTTCATTTTCCGGTTGGGGAGATTAAAGAGGAGGAAAACGGGATTATGGCAAAGAAAAAGTCTTTTCAAAATGTACTGTCCTCCCTTTGAAACTAAACTTTCGTACGTTTAGATGTCATTTTATATATAGTTATGTTTATTTAATATAATTTGAAAAAGAAGCATAAACACAACGAGGGGTGTCTATTTTTCTGTTTTTGTGACTAATGTTTCTTTAGTATAACCATGGAGTATAAAATTCAATATAAATTCTCGGTATTGCATTGGATTCTACGATCGGCGGAAGTTATCAAGCATCCTTAGACCTTCACCGGAAATACCGCCGTGCAGCAGGGAAAAAACAAGCCACCCCCTCATTTTTTTTCACCCAGCCGTTTCACTAGGAAAGTATATCACAATCCAGAAGTAAAGTTGGTCGCAAGTTCCGCCTCACGGTGACTTTGAATACACAAGCTGTGTCCATCTTGAGTAGGTTCTTATTTTGAATAACTACTCCACGAACACTAAAAAAGTATTCTATATAGTATGAATGTAATCTGGATGTAGACCTAGTACATTTGTCATTATCCAGACTGATCTCATGAAGTAGCGCGTGTATGACACGCCAATTCGTATTTCCATTTTTGGCGTGCTATCAAGATGCATAATCGCTTTTCAGCATGTTTATGAACGCCATTGACTTAACGTTATTACTTTATATATAAATATATGACTTACCTCAACCCCGTCCCTAAACCTAACCGTCACTGGGGTTAATGGCATTTATGACTGTTCCCTTTATGACTGTTAGTATCCTAGAAAAAAAAATTATCGCTCCCCAGATGTACTGTAGATGTACATTTTGCTTTGTTTCGCGCGGATATTTGACGGCGTGTACAGACACGTGGAATCACTTGGACGTTAATGGCGCAGACATACATGCATACACGTGGATACACGCGGATAGCTCAAAATGCGTAGAGATAACACGCCACTTGACTCGAAAGTGGCGTGTATGTTTACGCAAAAGTCATGATGTCATGTTGCAGAATCATGTGACCAACCAGTGTCAGTTACATCACTACACTGGCATTCACAGATCCTCTCCCGAGGCCTCATGGGATAGTAAATTATCCATCATAATTAAACCACACTTCAAAATCCCACCAGAAGTAGTATGTTATCTGGGTACTTTTTGCCTACTCTTTTATGAGTAGGCCTACTGTGAATTCGGACATAATTAACAGAACTAAGAACAGGTGATGATGAACTAATTAGTAACCAAGGAAAGTAAATAGTGGTGGGAAAACGGGAACAAAGGAGACAGGTAAGAGATAAACCAGAACAGAACAAACATGTGACACGTGATAAATCTTTTTGAAAATCGTTTTTAAATGAATTGTATCCTGTATCATATACTGAAATTGGAGACCTAAAGCATACATGCATACAAATTATTTGCTGCATGGAAAGTTTTCCTACTATTGCTCATATAGTAGCTATTTTTTAGTTTGTACTTTCATTAAAGAAAAAAAATTCTCAGAATTCAAAAATCTAGAGAATGATGAAAAATCCAGTAGTGGGAAAAAAATGAACCCAAGCCCTATACGCTAATAGCACCCAAAACATCAGAGATTTACTGGCCCATGTTAAAAGAGCCCACCTTCAATTAGCCCCCCACCCCCAAATATATCCTAGCAACAGCACAGCATCATGCTAACAACCACTCAGAACGCTTTAACCACTGCAAAACAGGCAACCACCTACAGTAAAACACTAGCATTAAGGTGGCGAGCATGCACAGGCAGGCAAAAACCATGTTAACTGTATGTTATACAGTTCAGTTATACAGTGATCCTTCATTTTGATCCTTTATTTCAACACAATCCAACCCTTTTTGTTCTCAGTCTTTGTAGTGCAGCATTAGCGCGAAGGCAACGCTGTATTATTTTTCATCTCATCAGCTCAGCAAAACTGTATGCGCTCATTGGTTTATTGCACTCTGCAAAAAAGTGCCTTGAAAGATGGATTCAGTGTCCTTTGGGCCTTCATCTTTAACGATGATGGCCTGCACCGCTAATTACAACCCCTGTTATAAAAGCTTTGTGAAGTTAAACAGATTGGGTTTACCAAATGTATCAGTAATTCAAAGTTTCAAATTCTACACAGTTGTCATAGCAGCAATTTGAGAAGAATTGATGTGTTCTGAATTGCTTTCGTGCCTCTCAAGGCAGCGAATGACCGAGTGGTGCCATTTTGGCATGACGTCCAAAGCATTTCTTGGCTGACATGCTAAACGTGTGCCTCAATTCAATCTGTGAGAAGTGTCTAAATGCTGATAAGATACTCAAACAGAACATAGATCACCGGTATAGAGCGACTCCTTGGCAGACCTAAATATTATGGTCTCTGTTCCCTTGGCAAATGTCTACAGTGATTGCTGGACGTAAACACTCTCTAAACAAGCCAGAGAGAACGAAATGCAATTATTTCAAACAAAAACAGAAGGAAATTGAGGAACTATACTACATTTATGATGCAGAGGGAGAAAAGCTGTTTGGTGTATGGGTTTAATTGTCTTACAGTATTCAAACATGTTGTTTGAAGTAAAAAGGAATGATTCTGTGATTCATCCAAACAGCTGTTCACTTGGAGACAATGACACTTCTCTATGGCAGCATCTGGGCAGATGATATGAAAATGAATCATGGCATTATTAATGGTGACCTGTTCAGGGATGCTTTTGTTTTTTTATAACCACCGACACAAAATATAGTTTTGGAAATGCTGTTGAAAGTGGTATTTCATCCCCGTTCAGACACAAAAATGAACTTTCAAGTGTAGGTTTTTTGTCAGTGATGAATACTGAAAGCTGTGTAAAATCTCTCTAGAAAGATCTTTATGATTAGACCACACAATGTTGAGTAAATTCCTGGTGCAAATGCTCAATTGAAAACAGCATATGTCTACAGATTTGACCGTGACCTGCATACACCAGCAACCCACAAAACAAAAGGGATTTTAACACCTGCAGTTTGTCAGAGAGCATGGTGAAATGCTCACACTAAGGTTGTAAAAAGCTGAAGGGGAAATGACTGGCCCTGACTCATTATATAAAGTAGGATGCAGCTGGTCTGGGTAGGTGTCAAAAACTGCCTTTGTTTAACTAAAGGAACGACAAAAATCATCAACAATAGAATCAAAAGCACCAAGAACCTGTATAATGTTACTTCATTTACATGTGTACCTCTTGTCGGGACACTCTTATGCTGCTGCTAATGTGTGCAGGTGTTTTTACTGTGCTAGGGTATTTTGGTTGATTGTTATATGGTTGATTACTCGCTCTGAATCTCCCCAGATAATATTCTACTCCCTAGATATATGGCAAACTATGCATAGTATTAATGGTGGTGCTTGTTTGAGCAAAACTACTAATTAATCACGTTTGTATTTGTATACTATGGATTTAAAATGAGATGCATTAAGCAAACATGACAAGGATGAGGCTAAAACATTACTGCCCCCTGCTGCTTGAAGACTAGTAACATCTGAAGAGAAAAAGCAGTAACAGCAAAAACATCTTCTCTTTTACTCTTTCAGACAGTGATCAACAGCATGTGTGGCTTTGGGGTTCAGACACAGAACTATGTGGACGCCACTAAATCTATCTATCCAGTGGGCTGTGCAGACAGAGCTGCAATATGGATTGAATCTCACCTGATGTTAGTTGGGGCGCTGACTCTGGGTCTCGCTTTACCACAGGTAACGTTCAGTTGAATCATTTCAGTTTCTCAAAACGCTTAGGATCTTCTAATCATGGGTGCTGTTTGGTCAGTAGCCGACAACAGAAACAAGAATTGTACTGAATAGGGTGGTGTTAAAACCTGGAAGACTCAATTTCCAGTGGTTCCCTCAAAATGTTAAGTTCTGTGGTAAACATATGTTGATAATACGTAGACGTTTTGTTCTACATCACGAATTACGCACTAAATGGGCCATTCTACAGAATTGGTGCAAAGTCAGAGTTGTAAACATCTTGAAATTTTTTAGTCCCCCATAAAAAAAATAAATAAATTTTTGCATGTATGCAAATTGTTGAATATCCAAGGTACGCTTTTCTAGTAATTGTGCAGTTAATTTTCATATTGTAATTTCAGAAAATGCTGCAATATTTTCCTTCTCCCCAAATGTCACTACCGAAACACTATATTAAATAATTGATAAAAGCTCAGCCGACGAGATGTTTGTCCCGTTTTAGCAACCGTAGCTTCTTCGAAAGGGAGGGGTGAGCAGTGGGCTGAGCCCTTGGTGCAAACTCGCAACCGAACCGCTAGATGCCGCTAAAAATCCCACACTGCACCTTTAAAGGGTCTGTACACTTACAAAGTTCTCAATGCTTCATTTTTGCATGCAGGGACCCTTATTATGTTACTGTGTTAGCGTGGGGCTATTTTGAGCCTTGTTAGTGGTATGAACTAGCGATTTCTTTTTACCTATTAAATGCCCCCTTATAATAGCGTTATATGCTAAACAGTTTTTAGAGATAAAACTCTTTACATTCAATTTTCATGAAAACAAATCTCAGAGAATGGTCGACTAAGAACCAATGGGTAATTAGACCAAAGGTTCATTTTGCACCAGAGTTCTCTTTTAAGATTTTATTTACATCTACCTAATAAATAGATATTTTTTTCTGTTTTAAAAATATTTTTACAGGTTAAATCAATAATAATAATTTGAATTATATTTTAAGTGTAATTTATGAGATTTGTTGTATTTTAAACCCAATCATTATCGTACCGATTTCTTACAACTTAAGACATTTCAACATTTTGTTTACGAGTCATCAGATACATCTCCAGAACCACTGAACTGTGTGTTTGTGTTTTCACATAAAAAAATAATTCCAGAATAATCTTCCTCATTCAGATAAATCTCCAGAACCACTGAACTGTGTGTGAGACATTTTTTATAGTTACTGATTTTTGTTTGTTTTCTCCCTTTTTCCCCATTGTGTATGTGCACTAGTGTCTGATCAGCCTCACTGGAAGTGCTAGGTGGTGTGGAAGCCCTGCAAAAATGTCTCCAATTTTTCTGTCTTTTCACCATCACCCTGTGTCTCTTTTGTCTATTCCTCCATGCTTTTCTGACATGTCTTTGCTCCCTGACAGATAATTCACTGATACTCTTCAACCTTCCTTCTTCCTTTCGTTTCTTATTTCTTTCTTCTCCGTACTTCACTGGGTCATCCCTTAGGTCAGAATGCGAGTCTGATTCTGCTCCATAGGGCTTTTATTCTCTGCTCTGTTATAGGTTTTTCTATTTTTTTAGGCATGTTGGTGTGAGTTTTATGTCATTCTCCCTGCCAAGTTAATCATAGAAATTAACATTAGCTACTGACAACAACCTTACACCTAAGCTAGTATCATGGACTGTAAGCTTAAGTAATTGTAAGTCACATTACAGAATTTTAACAGAATCTTGCATACTAAAACATACTAACTTACCATAGTAATTATTTGCATAACTGTACAAAAAATGTAGTTTATTCCTCCAAATAAAGGATTATGTGTTTCGTTTTGTCACTATACCAAAACAATAATGTCACAACCGAATCTTCTAGACATGTTTTGTGCCTGTACAATTTTATACACTTTTGAGCCTAGCTCAAAGATGCTAATCAGCACATGGTTAGCAATTACTGGTCAGAAGAGTTGAACACATATAACAACTACATTTTATGGAATAACATCCACTCATCAAAAAAATGAGTTTGGTAGTGATATTCCTTAAAGTTACACACAGATTTTTAAACTTTTGAACACATTTAGCTCTTGATGGGATCGATCTAACTTACTCACCATATAGCACACGAGAGAGTGACGCAGGATGTAATATTCCTGATCAAAAATGTAGAACGTGGGCGCCGTCTATAGAACGTTTTTGAACTTCCTTTTTTGCGGTTGCTGTGTATATTTCTATGGCATCGCTGTCGAGGAGTAGGCTACGTTAATTAGCTAGTGAAGTGGATTTACTTATTGTAGTGTTAACAAAAGTTATCATGAGCATTGTAATGTTTATCATAACCATTGTAAAGCAGATCTTAACAAATGTCGACCCGGAATTTTTTTTACGAGCAGTTCATTCATACCTATGCAAGATCGCTGTGAAAATACAGACCGGAAGTCAAAAGACAACGAGCGCAAAGCTGAAAAGGGGTGGGGCTACAATATTCACTGTTTTGGTAGCGTTTGGTAGTGACATGAAAATGCAGGACACTTCTTTTTTTTTTTTTTCTTTTTTTTTGTAAGATAAAGTTTCATGATTTAAAAATAAAATATAGGTATATTAAAAAATGGAAAATGTGCAAAAAAATAAAATAAAATAAAAAAAATTCAATATCATTTTCACAAGTTGAAATTTAGGGGTTAGGGTTTAGGACAGCCGCCTCCTAATTGAAAGCAGTCTATAAATTATGATTTTTATTTATATAAAGCTTACTGATAATCTTAAATATTATTGTGGCTTTCAATAGATAGTTGAATGATCTTAGTAAACATCTAAGATTTAATAATTAAATGCTTTATGTATTTTTTTTGGATGAGGGACAGCAGTTTGCACCAATTCTGTAGAATGGCCCATATAGGCCTGTAACAGATTAAAAATTCACATTTCTGATATGGGTGTGTGTGATTTACCCTATTATAAAAAGTCATATGAAAATATCGAGGAAACCACTGGCGAATTACTCTTCCGAGTTTTGACGTCACAGCAGCTTTCTTAATCAACTTCTATTGTTTGAATTGAACTGAAATAATGAGCAAATAGATCATAATGTATGTTTGTGACCTTTTTAATAATTTGTATATTTGAGTATAGGCATAGATCCAGCCAACCTAAATTATACACATATCCCCTTTCAAGATTGTGGTCCTTTTGAAATGAGTGTATGCTTATTCCATATACTGTAATTCAGTGCAATGTGCTGCATTTCCAATCATACATTTTTCAGTGGGTGCTGGGCAGAAACTGAAATTATGATCCTCTCTCCACACACACTGCTGTCCTGACACAGTTCTTCTGTTTGATCTACAGATCGCAGGCATTGTTCTGTCTCAGATCCTCATTTCTGAGATCCAGAAAGAGATCGGAGGCAGCAGAAAGTCACAGCATACCTGCAGTTCTGCCAAACTCTCTCGTGCGCTGGAGTGATGTTTTCATTCTGCACCGATTGCTCTCACACTTACAGCACACTTTCCTCTGTTTCATTTCACTCTGCCTCGGAGCTTCATTTTCTATTTTGGTTTACATTTAGTTGTTATTTGATTAAAAAAAGTCTGGACGCATATTTATACGTTGATTTTTATTGTATAATCAGTCCTTTGTTAAATGCCTAGAGAGAAAACTGCTCAGACTTGAATAATATGTCATATCTTTGCAAGGGATTTCTTGCACACTTCCATTTAATTTGTGTCACGCAATGGAAGAGGCTAGACTAACATTTAGACACAGTCAGAGAAGCGACCCAATTAAACAAGACTTTGTTCAGTGCAAACTCTTGGGCTGTACACAGTCTGATCTGATGTCTGTAGTTAAATGACTTCGGAAAGCGGCCTGTAATTAAACCACCAGAGAACAGAATGTAAAGCGCTTTGGGAAAAGGGTCTGGATTTAAACATGTAAGGAGTGGGCTCTCTGGATCAGACGGTCTGTGAGCAGGGAGTTTGGCCGCACTGCGTCTCTCTCAGTCAGCATGCATCTAGGGACAAAACACAACAGCACCTGCTTCCTTAGAAAGAGTCCAAGAAATTTCAAGCAGGAAAACACTGCTGTCTAAATCAGGCATTTTAAAAATATTTACATGCGCAACCTGTGTAGAACAGGTGGGAGTTTCGAACAGGGAAGAGTTTCGATTTATAAGCATTGCATACTAATGAAATGCATCATGTAAATTTCCGTTTGAAACTGAATCACACACAAATACCTGGCACATCCGTGGACAGCACATCAATTGACATGACAGTTCATCTTTAATGGAAATTGGAAACCCTGTGGCCTTGTATAGCAGTTTTACTGATTACTATATGAAAATGTGAAGCCAACTGTGCACTTTCAATCTGTTGTATTCCTTTGTTCACAACCAGTTCATTGAATACCCTTTTTGAAAGGTATTTGGCCATGGCTTCTGATGTATTATTCTATTCAGTTAACAAAAGTTGTTTATCAGCCTGGAAAGGCATCTGTGTTTATGACACAGATTAGTAGATAGCGATAAGAAGAAAATAAATACTTTAATCAGGAAAATCTAAAAAGGGTAGTACTAATTAATAACAAATCTTAAAGATTTGAAGATTTACTTCTAGATTCTGCCAGGGGAATGACAATGGAAGTTAACGGCAAATTACGCTAATGTGGATATTGTCAGCTTGCATCCTACACTGTCTATAGAGCTTAAGCTGTAAACCTAACAGCTTTAAAGTGCAGCATAAAAGCACAAAAGATAACAAATGAGCTATTTGTAAACCATTTTCCACTTAGAGGGTTAGAACAGCGTGTACCTGGCAAATCGTTGGTGTTCTTTGTCTCCCGACTTCATGGCAGCATGAATAAGGAGCTGATTGAAAACATCTCTCTGCAGAGAAACAAATAAGGAGGTTGTTTATCGTGGAAACACTGCTTATCTAATACATACTGCAGTAAAGCGGTGAAAGACCTGTGCGTCACTGCCCCCTATCTCTACGAATCGCTTTCTGATGGGTTTAAGCAGCTCCACGGCCTGGTTGTAGTTTCCCTGGTCATATTCCAGCAGAGCCTGACACATGGGCAGCCCCACACTCTCAGCTATCTGGAACTGATGGTTTTCTGCTGGGTCTCTGAGGGAGGAGAACAGAGACGTATGACTAATGCTAAAATGCATTTCTGTCATCACTTATTCATTTGTATGTCACTCCAAATACAACAAATTTGACTTTTATTTTGTTTACCATCCCTTAGCCACTATATGTTTTACAAGATATTAAAGGGGTGATGAACTGAGAAATCTAATTTTCCTTGAGCTTTTGACATCTAAGAGTTTATCATATTATAAGAATATCCTGTAAGTTTCAAAACTGAAAACGTCATTGTTAGTCCAATAAAAGCTTTTCTTGACACCAGCCCCAGCAAACGACTCGTTTTTAAAAGTGGGGAACTATGATGTCAAAGAGGATAAAACACCACCCCCGCAGAAGATCAACTCCTACTATAACACGGCCGGTTTAGCCCCGCCCACCGATTCGCGATTGTTTTGTAAACAAGACTGGATTTGCAGACCGATTAGGAGTAAAGAACAGTGCTGTGCCGTCTATATGGATCTGACAGGAATTGTGCAACACACGGACTCTGGGTCGAACATGTATGGGTGAATCGTTCTGGTTGCCATTTTACAACATTGGACGTTTTCAAAGCAATTTTCCCCACCGACGAGGTAAGTTAAAAAACTCATTATACTATACAAAACTATAACTATAATAAAAAGTAGGCTTTTAGTTCCAAGTCTTCAGTGCGAAACGCCCACAAAAACCGTGCGTTTCTGAGCTGGTCTCAAAGCTAGGGTAGAAAATAGCTTATTAGTTATTCATTTTGATGTTTTTGAATGCAAAAACCAAGCGAACGTCATAAGTTCACCACAGAAAACAATATAATAAAATTTAAAATGCCAGTTCATGACCCCTTTAAAACATCTTGTTTTGTGTTATACAAAGTAAGAAAATTAAATTGTTTCAGAAGCTTATTTCCTTGTTTAGACCTGGGGCCTCATATATAAAATGTTGTGTGGAATCCATCCTACATTTGATCTTAGGATAATTTCTCAAAGCTAGACGTGTGATTTAGAGAAGGAACGTATGCACACAAAAAGTGCGTACACTCTTTACCAGAAGTCAAAATGTATAAGCATGAAATTGTGAGCAGAATGAATGGTTTCAGATCACCACCTTGTAAACGGCGTCAATGTCATTAACATATAAAAGAGCACCAGTCAACGGCCAAATGCTTCAGAAAGTGCTTAGCACTACGTCAGAGTCTAAGAAGGTTTTATAAATGAAGCCCCAGGGGGGTTTTCAAGCTGGGGGACTGCAAGAGATTTAACCACAAAAAGGTTAAAGATAAGACAAAAAAAGAAGAAAAAAAATATGATTATTATTATGTAAAAGGTTCATTTACAGATTTATTTAGAAATTATATACATATTAATACTGCTTCATTTGTGCCCTATTTGTTTCTATTCAGGTTTTATCCATCTAACAGTAGTCTAATGGTGAGTAGAAAAAAATAGTGTCAACATAATAGAAAGATAAAAGATTTTTCACAGTGTAGAGCAAATCTATGCGGCACATGAAAATATAAAATTCCCTTTCATATTTTAGGTGGTTTGTGGTATCAAAAAGTTAGAAAATGCATGGTTTAGACAACCAATTTGGCTAGGTTTTTGTGTGCTTGTGTGTACAATTGTTCCTTAAAACCTAAAGAACATAAGTGGATAACGAAAAACATTCTGCTCTTTGAGAAAACACTGCTTTCTTTGAACAGATGCTGAGCTGAAAATACAGCTTTCAGGGGATTCCTCTCCATCATATTATCGTGCTTAAATTTACTTTCAATACACTTTGTGTTCCTTCTGTACAACCATTACCGGATGTTTGTTTTGGCCATAATCATAAATCGGAATAAATATGCATGCAGTGCATCAGCCTTGAGGATGCCAGTCTTCCCCAGAGCAGGGACATTAATAAGAAATATCATACAGAGACTGAAGACATGCTACATCAGTCCACAACTCAGCTTCCACAAACTCCCACCCGTGAGCAGAACCTGGCTGTAATGTAATCTCTTGAGTGGGTTGTGTAATGCATGCGGCTCACTTAGCTAGTTCCTGCAGACTCTCCAGCAAGCGCTGAGTGGTGGCGCTCTCCTTGCTTCCCAGGGAAACCATGAGGAAGTGCAGGTCATTGAAAAGTAATGTGTGGTCCTCTGTATGCGGCTGGGTCACCTGCAGCACCTCTCTGTAGCGGTCCTTCACGCTCACACCTGCCGAGAAAACATTTTATACACACAAACACCAGTTTCAGCACAACAGCATGCCTCTTATGCATTAATTAAACATACCCAGTTACACATCCCATTATCCCAGCTCATCTGTGTTTCTGAACCATGCCTGTCGGCAACTACACCAGCCAGAAAGCAAAGGGTCGCTACACTGGCCACTGCCAACACCCCTCCAACTGGTGCCTTCCGGTCATGCTAGACTTCACAATCCATTCACTTTCAATTCATACGCATGTGTATACAGGAAAGCAAAAGTACATGTTTGCCTACCAAAGTTCAAGTGAACTCTGTCCTGTGAATTAGCATTGTACAAAAACATTTGAGCTCATAAGATCAATTCATAGCAGACATAAACTTAAAGGGTTAGTTCACCCAAAAATGAAAATTAAGTCATGAATTACTCACCCCCATCCTGTACCAACCCCGTAAGACCTTCGTTCGTCTTCGGAACACAAATGAAGATATTTTTGATTAAATTTGAGAGGTGGATCACTGCCACATAGGCTGCCTAAGGGATTGAAACTTGACGGCCCAGAAAGACAATGAAGAAAATGTTTAAATATTCCATGTGACAACAGTGGCTCAACTATAAGTTTATCAAGCGACGAGAATACTTTTTGTGCGAAAAAAACAAACAAACAAAAATAACAACTTTATTCGACTATTCGACTCATTGTCTTTCTGGGCTGTCAAGTTTCAATCCCTTAGGCAGCCTATGTGGCAGTGATCCACATATCAAATTTAATAAAAAATATCTTCATTTGTGTTCCGAAGACGAAAGAAGGTCTTACGGGGGTTGGTACAGCATGGGGTGAGTAATTAATGACTTAATTTTCATTTTTGGGTGAACTAATCCTTTAAAAGCGGCATGGTTTGCAGGGTTTCAAGTAATTTTGTAAGCTTGCACGCTTTAGAATGGACTTCAGATGCTATTATATTAAAACACACAAATAAATACAATACTTTTTCTAAACAAACATGATTATCTACTCATGTGTGATTTACTAAATGGCAAATTAGCATGATACTGCAAAAACGTAAACGTGCATATGGGAGTGGAAATTCTGCGGATGATCTACTGGCAATGTGAAAATTAAAGAACACAGACAGCAATGTCAAGTGCAAAACACTTTAGAACATGTTTTTTTATTTATTAAATAAATAGCACAAATACCAGTAAATTGATTTCCTGAAAACCTTAGTAAATTGCATAATTTATTTGAATACTCTCCTCCCATAAATGTTGTGTCTCAAAGGAAAC